AGCGCGGCCGATTTCAAATGAGCAGTGTTCAAAACTTGTAAAAGAAGACTGCAGGCTGATCTGCCGGCATTTAAAATCATTTTTAAAAACAACTGCTATTCCTCCTCCTTTCTGACCCGACAGGCGCGGGGAATTAAAATAGCAGCAGTCAGGTGGTGACAGTTCAATAAGAGCGGTGGGCTCGCCGGTTCTCAGCCATGTCTCCGTTACGCAGAGAAAATCAAGATCACGGGACATGAAGAAATCCCTCAAGATGAAAGTTTTATTTGACAGTGATCTTGCATTAACAAGGCCAAACCTGGCAGGGGCCGGTGCATCCGAAGCTGCAGCTGTCTGTGGAGCCCGACGCAGGGCTCGTAGATGGCGGGAATTTACACCACGCCGGCGAGGACGGCCGTGGTGTAAATGGATTCTTCATGGATGAATGCAGGTTCACACTGAGCACATGTGACAGTCAGGAGACACCGTGGAGAACGTTATGCTACCTGCAACATCCTCCAGCATGACCAGTTTGGTGGTGGGTCAGTCATGGTGTGGGGAGGTATTTCTTTGGATGGATGCACAGCCCTCCATGTGGCAGCCAGAGGTGCCCTGACTGCCATAAGGTACCAGGATGAGATCCTCAGACCCATTGTGAGACCATATGCTGGTGCAGTGGGCCCTGGGTTCCTTCTTATGCATGACAATGCTAGGCCTCATGTGGCTGAAGTGTCAGCAGGTCCTGCATGATGAGGTCATTGATGTTATGGACTGGCCTGCCCGTTCCCCCGACCTGAATCCAACTGAACACATCTGGGACATCATTTTTCAGTCAATCCACCAAGGCCACATGGCACCACAGACTGTGCAGGAGCTAACTGAAGCTCTGATCCAGGTCTGGGAAGAGATCCCTCAGGAGAACATCCACCGTCTCATCAGGAGCATGCCAAGGCGTTGTAGGAGGTTCTAAAGGCACGTGGAGGCCACACACACACCGAGCCTCATTTAGACTTGAGGAAGATTCACTGATGTTGAATCAGACTGTCCTGTTGTTTTCCACTTTCATATTGAGTATGAATCCAGATCCAGGTGTCCACGGTGTCATAATTTACATTTACTTTGATCATTTTATTCTCAATCAATTCCACTGTGCTAATAATAAAAAGTTTGTCAATGAGAATATTTAAGTTACTTTAGTGTTCCCTTTAATTTTGTGAGCAGTGTGTATATAT